TAGACAAATGTATACATAAATGCTCAGAATGAATAGAGATGTCGATTAAGCCATGTCTGTATGTCCGTCCGTCTGTCTGTCTGTCCGTCCGTCCGTGTACACGATAGCTCGAGCAAAAATTTAGATATCTCAACGAAATTAGGTATGTAGGTTTCCATTTATTCTAGGTAGGTTGGTATTGAAAATGGGAGAAATCGGACTGTAACCACGCCCACTTCCCATATAACGGTAATTTTCTGAAATACGAAAACTGCGATATTTTAGTAACTACTGAAGATAATTCACTCAAAATTGATATTACCAAAAACTTTCAGACGAAAAATAAGAATATTATACATTTTTGGGAAATGGGCGTAGCCACGCCCACTTACGGTTACATGTGTATATCTTGGTAACCGCTGCACCAATTTCGAAACTTGGCACAGTTGTTGGCCTTGGTGCAGCATACCAAATGGCTGAAAATTTTAAAAATCGGACGATAACCATGCCCACATCCCATATAACGGTAATTTAGGGAAATGCAAAATCTTCGATAAATCACTAAATATTAAAGCTGATTTATTCAAAATTGATGCTTGCAACAATTCTTTACCAAGAAATACGTTTAGGATAAAATTTTGAAAAATGGGCGTAGCACCGCCCACTTATGATCACATATATGTAACTCGGTAACCGTTCTACCAATTTGTACCAAACTCGGTGTGGTTATTATGCCTGCCACATAGAAGCAAAACGTTGAAAATTATTGAAATCTGACTAAATTGAGGCCGCCTTTCATATAACGGTAAATTTCAGAAATGCTTGAAACTTCAATATTTCGAAATTTAAAGACGCTAGTTTACTTAAAATTTATACACGCCGGCTTACCATGTAACGGTAGCTTTCGGAAAGTTGAAAAAACATATATTTAATACTTGCGCTAGGTATTTAATGTTCGGCTCCGCCCGAACTTAGACTTTCTTACTTGTTTTCTATACAAAGTATGTTCGAACTTTTTTTATATGGAAGAAAATAAGCAACACCGTCACGAAAAAATTTTAAAACTTGCACAATGTATTAAAATTGAATAAACTATAAAACTGCATTCCAGAAGTTTTTTAGAAATTTTGATGAAAATTTTTTTAATTGGGCGATAATTTATAGTTCTTGTGAAAGGGTTGAAAGTTTGAGTTACTTGGCTTTCGTTGTGTTAAAAACTACTATTATTTTGTAAACAAATAATTTAAAAATAAAGAAAAAATAAATGGTTAGAACTTATAAAGAAGTAGTGACCCTAATTATGTGGCCACCACTGTTTGCAGTTATCCAAAAGAATTCCAGGATTTATTCCAGGATTCTTTAAATTAACTTTAAATTATAATATAATGTTATTTGTATGTATGTGTGTTGGTCATCGTATGTCCAAATAAAAAGATTTTTTAATTCACCTAACCAAGTCTTGCAGAGATTATCTGAAGTATCACAAATTAGTTTTGACTTCTGTTTACTTAAGGTAGTTGTTAGTTGCGCTTTAGTTTTATAACATAAATATATGTAAGTATATGAAAAGTTGTCTTCCGTGCCAAGCCAACTTAAATCATCCAAAATGATTTAATTTGAATATCATCCGTTGTGTATATAAATTAAAGCCCATTGATCTTTACTTTGATATGCCTACCGTAGACAGGAAACTGCTATGCCCTGCCGAACTTTGGCGATGCCTATGGGGCGTTACTGCTGCACACACGCGTGCCAAAGCCAGCTGACTGAGTCCAACAGTAGCAACAGCTGTTGAAGTGATTTTTGTTAATACCCAAACCTATGCACATACATACGTATAAACTGACTAAAGTCAGCATAAGTAGTACTTCACAGACGCGCCTCAATCGGAGCACATTTTGCCACTCAGCGATCACTTGCAACGAACCAACTCACACAGAGAAGCTCCAGCTGCTAAAAACATTACGCAAATTTCGGTTTCATTTCATTTTCTTTAATGCTTCTGTTTTCATTTGTACGCACACAAATGTACAAACATACGAATGTTTATTTCTTTTTTTTTCTTTTGTTGAATTGTTGTTTTCTTGTAAGTGTCATGTTTCACTTGGCTGCAACGATTCGTGCGCGGGTGGTGGGCCAACTAAGTGCCGCCTAGCCCACCAGCATTTGGGCTGAAAACGCATTTGTTTGCCACAAAGGCACGAAAAAATAGCAAAGTTTTATGCCAAATACCCGCCTCAGCGGCTCAACAGTTTGCTTTAAACATTCGAATAGCACGCGTCGGTTTTCGGAAACAATTTCGGAGTCCGTGACGATTAAAGTAAAGGGACGAGAAACAATATCAACTCTAAGGATATAAATCCTATGCCTTTTCCACCACAGCACAATATTGGACAATGGATTACCAATTTCTGTGTGTGCTGCAAATTTTTGCGATAGTTTTGGTGGTGAATGTAAGTGAAAATTCATAAATAGTTGCGAGGATAACCAAAGCAAAAACCATTGAGATTAAAAGTATAAGGACTGTGCATTAAAAAGCCAATAAAATTCAAATAGAGGAGTTAAATAAAGCAAAAAAAATAAGAGTGAAAAAGTCCACTTCTTTAAAGAAGTAGGAAGAAGAAGTTTATACAGAAATATTTTATAAAAAGTGTTTGGATTTCCGGAACAAATAAGTCTCAAACGTAATAAAAATTGATATTGGATAGAATAGAAACCTAGCTGTGTGGTTTCCTTTTATACATTCCAACTTATTGCAGAGCCCTGAAAATAGTTCCAATAAATTTAACCACATAGAGGTATCCTTAGTTTGGCAAATCTAACTAAACTAAAAGGGACGATGATTAAAGTCCTTATATTTGGAAAGGGAGGAAAACAACGCAGGCAGTTAAAAATCTGTTTATAAAGCGGGTACTGCGTCATAAAGAACTGCAGAAGAACGGTCGCTGGATGTCGATCAGGAAAATCTCGACAAAAAATATCGATGCCTGGGTGCCTCGTAAATTAACCGAACGTTTTTATAAACAGAGATTCCACCTGCGAACTGCTGTTTAAGCAGGTGATAAAAAATGGATAACATGTGAAAAATATCTTGGTTGGTTGGTAGAAACGACGGCTGAGTACATGCCCAGGACCCAATTACTGCTGGTAGCACCATTTTATTTTTATTTTATCTGCTTTCACGATTCGTTGGGCTCGATTTTCCGATGAATCTATTTAGGTTAGTAATAGTGAATTTGGAGATCTCCCAAAGATTTCGGATGGAAAAACTCGCGAGTGTGTTATGCCCTATTCGTGCCAATGCTGGGGACTCGCAAAGATATTGTAGGACCGTTTCTTTATTTCCCTCAAGACTACAGCTACATTGAGGGTTGTAAGGAAGGCCCACTTTAGCTGCATGTTCACAAATGGGC